CGATGAATGCTGGACGTATAGAAGAGTTATTAGCTCCGTATAATTGCACTGGAGGATGATTCGTGTCGTGCGATGAGTCGTGCATTGTATGACACTATCGTGTTCTGCGCTATCGACAAGGGGAAGGAAAGAGAACACCGAAGGACGCAGATAGTTTCTATCAAAGTGAAATACACCATCGGGAAATTCTGCGTATTTACCTTCTAACACGTTCGTCACTTGTTCCTGGAAATTATCGAACTCGAAGGGCGTGAGGAACCCTAAGGAACCAAGATGGAACGCCATCACTGGCGGTACCGATTGCTGGAACAGCAAACTCGCGTAGAGGAGAGTTCCATCGCCACCCAGGCAGACGATAAAGTCGATACGATCCTTGAATAAATATATATTTCAATTTTCACTCGTCTGACAGTAAAAGTAACTTTAAAGTTAATAACAAACATTACCTGGAGATCATCCGTGCCATCTCTGAAAGTCTGCAACCTATCTCGAACCTCCTGAAATCTGGGGTCCCTAGCTAAGGCTGGATCTTCCAAGACAGACGCCTCGACGAATACTACCATGCGTTTTTCCTGAGAAAATGTTCCAACGTTAAAATTTGAAATATTATAAATATATACATTGTTATAACACTGTAAAAGCGAGTTGCTCTTTGGTCGTTCGGTCGAAAACGAATGAAAAAAGTGTAATCTAGTTCTGCTTCGACGACAGACTATTGCAAAGTCATAAGCGATAAAAGTACGTAAAAGTGTTGTAGAATCACGTGATACGAATTGATAGGCCGAGAAACGTGTACTGTAAATTCTTAAAGAAACTAGGTTGTCTATGATTACGCGAATGAAAGTATAATGCCGTTTAAATAATATATGCGACGTCCGTTTTCCATTATCCTTCGATCTCGATTTGTCTACGATGACACGAAGAATTGTATAAACCTTAGCGAATCAATCAAGGAATCCGTGGAACTTTTTTGTCATAAATTATGCAACAGGCACAAGAAGTAAATCGAGAATCAATAGAGGATCATACTTACTTCTATTAACCACGTGACTAACTGAACAAACGGTGGCAATACCGAGGAATCACGGACCTTCTTGATGACCAGAACTGTGAGTGGTGGCTTGTACCACGTCAACCTCTGAGAGGCTGGATCCTGTATGGTCCTGCAATCAGTTGAATACCAAATCAATGTAATCGAATTCTGAACGCTGAACATCAAACGTAAGATACATCGATGATTACACAGGCCGATATCTATAATTCTCGTTACGAGTTATTGCTGCTAATCGTATCATGAAATGTTAATGCAAAAGCATATATTTTCTACTTTATTCTCCGATTGACGGGAATCTTCTGTGTTCAATGACAAACTGAATCGTACTCGCAACGCAATAAGGTTGATACTCAACGCATATAATCGTATACGCAGTCTGGCCATTTCAAATTACAATAACGACCGATCGGCTGCTTAATATTAATAAAAGTACCGAACGTGCTTCCGTGAGTGACCTGAACTCATTTTTACACAAAGGGAATCGATCGGCGAGCTTATCATTGAATTAGGGTCGCCGGGATCAAAGGTGCAAATATACTCGTACGTATATTTTACGATTATACTTTACACCTTTACTTTATATTGCTCCTTATCACCGAATACCCGAAAATTCATACAGATGCTACTTCTATATACGAGTTTCGTTAAACATATTTGAACAGAGTTAACAGAAGAGATTCGAGTGAAAACAACTTCGAAGAATTATTTCGCGGACGATCTATCTATAGCTATCGCGAAATTTTCTGAAGAAATACGCTATGTATTACTCGGCAGAAGATATATATATATATTTTGGAAATTTTATCGTTTCGGGCTGAATCGCCAAAACAGATAGGAGTCGAAAATCTCGTGTCACCGATAAGTGTCCGCGATAGAAAGCAGATAAGTGTCTCGGTATGCGCGACCACGCGCGAAAGCAAAGCTCATTTCGGTGTGGGTAATTTGTTGAGAAAAACCTACCTGACAGTTCCAACCATGACGTGGTACCGGATTGAGAGTCGCGCTCGCACTGAACGTGGACCGAACACGGCGCTACGATTTTTAACGGTAAACAATCGGACGCCGCGCAAGCGCACGCGCCTCCACATGCACGCGATGAATCGTCACACGTTTTCATATGCATAATAAGCGAAATGACGCGCGTAACTCGCGTGAATGTGTTTATCCACAGGATGCTCATTGACTTAATTACCAAAAGTGTCGTGCTCTTAAGATCCGATCGAACCGCAGAAAACTTCCTTGTCAAGAGGAATATTACGAGAACCGTCCATTTCTTCGCGTTTTATTTTGAATTTGTTCGGCCCGTTGAAAAAAAAAAAAGAAAAAAAAGAAAAATGGTATTTCGAGGAAATATTGTCAAACGAAATTTTCAGCTCGTTATTAGCAATTCTCAGCACGTTATGTAACGCGATATGCGTAAATGAAACATGTTTGAAAGTAATTATACATTAATAAAGGCTACGGTTAACTTTTTATCCTCTCTCATGTGTGCTGTTTCGAGCAATCATTATACTATTTCCCAAGTCATCGTTATATTGTATACCATGAGATCAAACGATTCATTAAAATTGAATGCATCGCGCTGTCTAGTAATTACGGATGAAATTTCAGGAAGCAGTTACTGCCCGCGTCTACGCGATTACAATGCAAGAAACGCGTTCTCATCGAAACACTTCGAATTAACGTAACAAATCTGATAAGTAGCGTATTCCCTCGTTACGCGATATCGTCGTCACGATCATCGATAAACGGCACCGTTAGCGAGCAATTGCGCGAAAAGAATCGCGATTTCGCCATTTTCCCGGACCTCTTCCTCCCATGATCTTTACACCGAGTTTATATAGATCCGCTTTCTAATTCGCACTGACAAAAGAGCGCTTAGGCTCGCTTAAGAAGTCATTGTCAGGGATAATTGGGTCAAGATACTCGCGTGCGCTGTAGTTTTCACGAGAAACTCTCCTCCTTCGTAAACTCACCAACGTCCAATTAAGCGAGACGAAAAGGAAGAAAAAGGGACGGAAGAAGAGTTTACGACTTCAGCAGCAATTGCACGTGACTTTCTAGTCTCTGGGTATATCGGGACAACGGGTGAACCACTGACGTTTTCGTAATGTACTTACATGACCATCGCGGAATTCTTCATGATACGCCCGCATGGTCCAAATTGTTGGATCGGACTAGGTGCATTCAGACTTCTCGTTCTCCTGCGAACAAAAGGAAGGAGTTAAACGAAGCAACAAGAAGAATCCTGTGACGTCGAAGAACGGCCACCTGCTCTCTTGCCTTACCTTCCTCTCGGACATTTTTGGATAAAAGTAACCATAATCGCGTTATCGCGATCACGCGTGATAATTGGTTACAACTAACTTTGGCCATGTGACAAAGTACACAAAATGAATTTGTATTGAACTTGATGTTAGCAATTGCGCCGAGATAATCGTTATATTACATATGATTCGACTGATCGGATTAGTAGGCAAATAATGGTTTTACGTAAAAGAATACCATATTTGCACGAATAGCAGCGGTATTTTTGCATAATTTGTTGCTTCTTGTACTTTGATAAAGTAGATCAACGAAGTGTGCTAAAGAAAGAAAATGCGGGAAACGAGATGCCAAGATAATTAGCAAAGTAATAAACGAATATGACTGTTCGCATGATTCTAGAATGATTATAAAATGTATTTCAAGTTTTCAATCGTACACATGCAATAATTTATAATGTCGCATAAGTCGTTCTTGCTTACTATTACAATCTAGCAAGCTTCTCAGTGTAACGAGTGATTATTCGGGAAATGAATTGAAATGTATGCACGTGTACTATTGTTCTCTCCTTCCTGTCAATTTAATGCAATACGTGGACATTGTGAATAAAAGAAATGCTAATTGCCTTGTGAAACGAATTACTGTCGTCATTTAAGCTATCTCGTCTTACTATGAATCGTGCAAATTTGCATACAGCAGGTTCATCTTCCAATCGCTACCATCCTCGCGATGCTCGCCTTTTTCTTTCTTCACCTTACATGCCTATCTTATTTTACATTTTCTGATTTTCTGTTTAGAAAACGATGCCGATACTCAACCCGGAGAAAGAACAGTTTCTACCTGAGCACTCTGTTCCGTGGAATACCCTCCGTTGCCGAGCTGATCGACCCGTTCCCCAGAAGATCAAGCAGATCGTAATTGATATCGAGGTGGCCATTGGTCTGAATGTCCAGCAACGGTGAGATTTGATCCGTCATTTCTTAAAGATATTTATCGAATTTCTGTAACGAGCTGCTCTTCGACAAATTCGCACTTCTTTATCTGTCACTTATGCTACTTTTAGCGTCGACATATACTCGCATTATCGAGAATAAATAGCGAGAACACTGCTCCGAGAATAAACGTTTATATACTAAACATTCGAGTCACGAGAGGCTTAGGAATATTCTATTCCACTGGTCACAGTGTTGACAACATCGAATCGTATCGGAATACGGATACATCGATAGGTGCTGATACTGCTTGATTATCTACTGATAGGAACAGCTTTCTTTCGTTAGAGAGAAAAAAAGGGTTGTTAATAGTCGATCAGTCGTAGAGTGATATACTGTTCACCTGGATGCACGAAGATTCTCGAAAGTAGGATTGCAAAACGTCCTTTGTTTTACGGAAATAGTCATTAAAATCCGAAGGCCGGTTAATGCGAAATTAACAATGTCCTTTGAGGCAACTAGCTACCAAGAAATAGTAGGATTTACTCCCAAGGATACGTAACCCTTCCTCGGATATTCTTCTGAATTTTCATCGAGCATCGTTCGTCACGGTTTTCTTCATCTGTATATTCGCTCGACTTCTTTCTTTCTCGGTGTGATATCTCAATGGACTCTGCTTCAGACGATCTTTGATGATCTTTTGCCAGTTCTCGTTCTAACGATTAATTCTAACGATTACCTCGAAGAAAATGAACCGCGCTGAAGCGAGGCTGAAGGATTTCAAAGCGTCAATCTGTTGACCTTGAACTCGGCTTTGGTAATTCCACATGAAGGAATGCGCGACCAATGAACATCATTTATGTATTATTCATCTTAATCTCCCCGCAAACGAATGCACGCCAATGATTCCAGCACGCGATCAGCGTCCGGTACTTTCTTGATACCTCGACGAATCTCCAAGAAAATTCACTGTTCCACACGCGATGAATATTCACACACTGTCACTGAGATACGTCGAATCGGAAGAAGGAGAAGCGTTGGTCGGAAACCTAGCGTTCTTCGTTAGCAAACATTTTGCTGGAAGACGGTGGCTTTTAGAAAGGACCGAATGGCAAGGTGGCTGCACGCAGAATGACGATCAGACCGGAGGTAGCCAACAATTATGGGATTCTTTCCACGGAACCGTCGGTATACCGTAAACTTCACGGTTCTTGTCGACACTAAGGCCGAAGTTGCGTAACGATATCCGATTATGTCAGATTGCCTTATCGTTCGATAGATCTTCAATCGCGCCGTTTAACACTACGAGAAATCGGTCGTGTCATCGATCTCGATCGATCATACGCATTACAAGACCGGTCATTGATAAACTAACGATCGAGGAATTAAAAATAGAAGCCAGTAGCACAAATTACCATGATCTTTCGGAAATCATTAGGTAACTTTTTCTTCTTGGTTTCACCCGATCCGACAGACACGACTTTCTCTCGATTGATTGAGAAATACGAAGAGAGAGAGAGAGAGAGAGAAAGAGAGAGGGGCCGAGAGAAAGACTGGACGAAAAATATACCGGACGGGATGGAGCCGCAAGGGAGAAAGCCCTTTTGTTTTTCGACCATCACGTGTCCCTAATCGTGGCCTGGCCCAGATTACCGTGCACGGAAAGCTTGCAAAACACCACGATCGATTTTCTTTCCCAACCTGTTGTCGGCGCTCTCTCTGGCTCCGATCTGTTAAAGGAGAAAACGATCGGCTCACGGCTATGTCCGGTTCGGTAATCGATTGCATCGAACGTGAATTTCTGAAATTCCAACGCGACGGTTGTAATGGGGGCGCCATCAGCGAAGTCTACGGGAGCCCATAGGGCCATCGGTGGCTGGCGTACCGGACAGCCGGGTAAAATGGAATGTACTCGGCGAAAGGTGAACGCGTTCTCGCTCTCAAAGAAAGGAGCAACAAAAAACACTCCCACCGAGGCGTTCGCGATTCGAACAGGTACCCCGACCTCCTTGCACACGTGTGCGAAACGAGCGGCGAGGTGCGATGTGTGCCCGCTTAATGGGGAACACCACCCTGACAATTTAAGAAAAATACATTTCTTTTTTTTTCTCATACTTTCTCCGAGCTTCTTAAAATACGTCAAATGTCGAACACGACTCGACGAAATTCGAACTCCTGACGAAGCTAAAGCGATGAATGCGAGGATAGGTCGTGTCACGTATAACGTTTCTCACGAAGTAGGAAGAACAAAGATATTAGGGATAAATCGTGTACGATTCTTGCTTTCTCACGAGGAAGCGTGGTTTTATCTTGAATGTAATTATACGCTGTATGGGATAAAGTACGGATGTGACTTAGGAAGACTGCGATCACATAAGTATTTTAGCGTTAACGCTGGAATAGCAGTTGTGCTTGCTAATGCTTTCAACGACGGCTAGGATAATATTTTACTAACCATGCAAATAATAAATCTAAATATTGGAACAATGAGATATGACTTGTGGAAAATGACGAGCAATGACTATGATACGTTGAGATAAAGGTAAAGAGATGCAAGAGAACTTGATAAATGCTTGAATCGACTGAAAAAGAGACAGCGAAAACGTGTTCTGAAAATGATTGCTGTATGATAGACCCAAAACAGGTGATTGAAGATGAAATTAAAAAATTCTTCATCAGAGAAAGGAATTTCTCTTACGTTCTTCCTGATATTGTTCTCTAATACGGCTGCTACACATCCGATCTTCACAAAATTTTGATGGGATATTTTAGGCGATTTTCTCTGGTATCTATCGTAAATTGCACGATTCTTATAAATTTTCGAAAATCTCAAGCTACATCTCGGATTCTGGATTCTAGATGACAAATTAATACCAAACCTACCGTGATCGGTCAAACGACAATTAAGAAATAAAATAAGAAAAACTTTAAGAAAATGAAACGCGAGGAAGATTCTGAAAAATCGAATATACCCGAATTAAAAGAAAAATCGCAAAGACAGATAACCAAAGCGACCGCGTTTAATGCAAAATTTTTAATTTAAAATATAAAAGTGGCCATTTGGTAGGTTTAGCATTAAAAATCTCTCGTCCGAAATAATCTTTACTGGGAGTGGCATCTGCTCCAGCAAATACGTTTTCGAACGTAATGCATAACTCCGCCATTTTGTAAGATCTTTAATTAAAAAAAATTGCGATCGAAGCCAGAACCTACACTAACACGATCCAAAGAGATCTGAACTTTCCGTCTAGCAACTACTCGTAGAAAAATTTCCAAAGTTTACCTATATTTAGACGCCTCAAGATGGTGTTCCCCGTGAACGATGCCTACCAGCGGCCTAAACGTCATCCTTTTCGAACAACTCGCTCCGTTGCCAAGCGACATAACCTAGCACAAATGGTCCTTCTCGTCTTCTCGAAACGTGGCACGACAGTATCCGCAACGCTTCACGTATGTCTGTTTTCACTTCGAGTCATCACAGTTCACGATCGATTTTCTATAAACACGGGCGTATTATAACCTCTTATAACCTCAAAAAGATACACGATGCTGCGTCGAGAATCTGCCAGCACTGTAACAGCCGCGATGACGGTGATCTAATCGACGAAACCTATCACGCCTGCATCACGAGCCTGTGTTACATAAACGACGCACTGTACGAAACGCAGGCCGTTTGATACCGCCACGAGCGCATGTCGCCACGCGAGATTTAGGTTAACCAACACTTACCTCGTCATACTTTAATTCGGCCTCGTCCATGTGCACCGATTTACGAAACAGACGAGCTGCTTTACCGAGGTTGCTATGCTTACACACAGGACACGAGATCGAGAGACGCGAGTAGGCGGGGATGCAGGCACATTTCGCTACTAAACAATTGCAAAAGGAACTGGCTGACGCCATGTGTGACTCGACGCAGAGCGTCGCGACGTCTGACGTACCGGCACGCATGCTCCGCCGGCCATGGGTGACCAATCGTTTCCGTTGCGTGTCGAACCACGTTTATTTTCTCTCTCCGTTTTATTTAACCTCTTTCATGGCACGTTCCTGCGTGACAATGTACGCCCGAGGAAGAGGAGACTGGTTGGACAATTGAATCGCGTAGTAAATTGATATTAATTACGAAAGCTGTTACCATACACGCGATTAGGCTTATTCGCTACAAGACAAATCGTCGGTTTGTATATACGGGCGCCGCGATGTGTCCCTGAGAAAAGAAGAATGTTGAGCAAGAAAACGACTTCGCTCAAGTTTCGCACGAATTGGAATCGGATTACACGCGGTTCCAGCTTAATTACGAAATTCAACAGCTGTATACTGGTTTCGCTACACCGTTCGGCTTACTTTTCATTTCTCTTTCAGCAAAATGCAGGTATTATTCGCTCGCTTCACCGGTGTGGGTATAATAACAGAGCAGGAGACAATCTCCTCCTTAATTCCCTAGATCATTCGATTCCTCACTGCTCGAGCAAAAATAAAATGTTCGATTACCGAACGAAAAGAGAAATTCCGGCACCTGGATTCGAACCCGAGCCTCGCGGGTACAAGCCAGGTATCTTAGCCACGAGACCATACCCGATTCAATTGGACGGGATATTGAATTAATCAGTGACTTCGTAAATTACGTCTGCAGTCCAACAACCGTTATCAAACCACTTACTATCTGCCACTGCAATCGCGATATCCTCGAAAGACAGTCTAACGTAAAAATAAAGCTCACGTTTGATAAATTTGTACACAGGATGGTTGTACGTTATATTCCTCGTCAGTTATCCACGAAGCAACCAGATTCTCCACTCCCACTTTTCAAAAGGCTGTAAAGCTATTACTCACGGCCAAGTACCGGAACGTTTCCGGCGACGCATTTCCGGGTCCTTGTCGTAGTCCTCAAGAAAGGGCACGTTCATGCACGTGTCGTCCATGCTGGCGTTTCCTTTATTCCTGACGACGCATCGCCAGTCGAGCATTTCGCTCACGCTTCGACGTCTTGGCTTTTCTCTCACCATCTTTCCTATCCGTCCATTTCCTCGAATAACTTTAGCAACGACTCGCCGATCTCATAGTGCATAATTTTCGCTATTCTACCAGTTCCCTCTGAGCAACACGTGTTCGATAGCTCGTATGTTCGCGCACATGTTCCACACTGTTTCGACGCGTTATTTATAAACGTGGATGCCTCTGATTTCTATCGAACGCGATCGACCATTCGGGTCCACGATATTAATCAATCGCTCAACACGTGACGCGTGATCATCACGCGGCACTTTCGAACTCCCTATGAGGCACCAGCTTTCTTTCCCTTTCCTTTTTTACGCAACGCGAGATAATTAATTTGTACACCAGCCAGTTTGCTCGTTTGAACCACAGAAAAAAGGGAAAAACGACTTTGTTTGACAGCGGCGTTCCGCGTGCAAACGAAACTTAGAAAGCGTTACGCAATTCCCACCTGTCGTACGTAAATTTGCCTTTGTTTTACGAGTATGACGTCCATGGGCTGAGCAATTTGCTAATTTTTATCGCATTTTCAGCATGACAAGCTGTTTTTCGCTTCCGGGCAAAGTCGACAGATCGATTCGCGTTAATTTTGTACGATCTTCGCGCAAGTTTGCGACCTGTTTGCCTTCGAGGTTTCCACCCTGGAACAGGAGCGATCGGAGATTTATTCCACGTCGATTTACTATTATTTTCTCTCGTCTTACAATTTAGGGGGACGTTTATCTTATCGTCGACGCGCCGTTCCCAGACTTTGATCGATTTTTTGCCTCCGATATATTTCCACTGCGAGTTCGCGTCCGTTCGGTGTACACAACGGGACGACGGTAAACTGGAAACCGGTAACGGGTTAGAAAAAGAAAAGGGCGGAAGTATCGCGAATCACCGCGATGTCCGATTATCCCGTGAGATTAGGTCGAAATTGGTCTCGCGAAATTACGTGGATCGCGAGTAGAAATCGATCACTTCCTCGCCGATACTCCGCCTCGACGACTGCGCAAAGTCGCTCGACGTTCGTGCGTTTAATCGCGAAATTACACACAACTATTTTTAAAAGAGAAAGCATACTTACAAGGCCGGGAATTCTAGCTTTAAACGTATCGTCGCGGCTAAAGGAATATTTACGCGAGCGTTTCGGATCGTTTCGTCGCTCGGATCGTTACACTGGCTGGACTAGCTCGCGAATATGGTGCCTCGTAGGAAGATGTTTCGGTAGAAATCGATCGCGTCGGATAGAAACGAGGCCTCGGAACCGGAATCCTCGTACGGTGAATGAAACGACGATGTGTACAGTGACGAGCGAACCGCGATCGACGACCGCTCCGAGTTCACTGAGCAACGACTTTACCGGCTGCAGCCTCTGAAAGGCACTTAGGGCTTTCTAACTCGCGCCTCTCCCCACCACCTTGCACCTACTATCTGAATGTACGCGATAAAAAAGAAAAGTGTCGAGGAAGTGGTGATGAAAGTATACATTCGTGACCACCAACAGACATGGCCGTTGCCCAATTACGCGTATGTTGAAAAATTTCTTCGATTTTCGAACGTTCAGACCAACAGATTCACGGAGTCGTTCGTCCAACATGGATGAACAGACGATGAGACCGATTCGCGTATTACAGTGGCCTTATCGTCGGCGATTACGCTCCGACGACTCGTCAGGACGAAATTTTTCGAGCGACTGATGTTAAATGGTATTCGTAGACTGGAGCATGTACTTGTTGCATTGCGCCTGCGTTCCAGATGGTTTTCTGGAGCTTTCAGCAACAGATGACACGTGCGCTTTGAGCCCCCTTTTCACGTCATGCCCCTTTGTTCTCGTTAAGAGAGGAGTGGTTCGAAGAACGAAGGTTGCTTTCATGGTTGCCTTCGTTCTAACTCGAGCTAGCTGCTAATCGGTGAAAGCGACAATGAAAGGCGAACGAACGATTAACCGGTTCATTTGCGAAGAGACCTTACAGTCGCGGCAATGTTCGCGAGTCTAGATCGCGTTGAACTCGACCCATTTTCATTGTTCTTCGCGGAATCTAAGGGAACATCTTTTCATTCATCGCCTACGACGTACAGCGTCTATTTCCAGTCTTTGTCGACCATCTTGTTTCGCGCGTTACCGTATAGAAAATCGGGAATGGCGAGGCTGAGACGAAAAACAGCTAATCCCAGGAATCGAGCTTCCTTTCTTCTCGTGCTCGTTCTTTTTTCCTCGATCGTTCTCCCAGAAACGTTACATCTTGATAAGGCAGTGGTCGACTTCCGGCCGTCGACTTCGTGGCCCAATGCTGTTGAACCCTGCGCCTGTCGTGTCGAACGGTTTCGAGCCGGCTAAAGTGGCAAGCGTCGACTCCATCGCGAAGAAAATATTTCTCGCGAACACGCGGCGCTCCGCTCGACGCCTCTTCGATTGCATAATAAACAGTGGTACGTTCTGCGAGAAGTATATATAACAAGCAGGTCGTAAGGCATAACTGTAAACCAGTTGCGCGTAATGCAATTATGGTATGAAAGTGATCAAAATTTATTGCGGCCGCCGGTACCGCGTTGCAAAACCGATGGTACGAGAAGCGAACCGAAGTGTCCCGCGGAGAAACAGACGCCTTGCCAGGGCCGTACCATTATCTCTCCCATTTTTTCCCTTTTTTCCACCGCGGTTCAACCAGCATCGACGTCCGACTCGTTAGAATCCTTTGAGAAATTCAGAGGCCAGGTTCTGCCGATAAATCTTCCACTTTGCACAGCCGCTGATCCCTCGGCACGTCAGTGTCTATGGGCCTGACCATTTCTGGCCTCCAACCGTTTCATGGACGAGCACTTTCCACGGGAAGAAAACGCTCACGGTGTTGGTGTTTTATGCATTTCACGAAATGGGATACTTTCTCGCCGAGGAATATAAAACCGGTGGTTTAAGGACGATATTGCGGTTAACAATGAGGTTACGTCCTTCTAGAAACGCGCTTTAGAAATGGCCACTAGCGAATGGAAATGAACTGGCGAACATCACGATCCTACAGTTCGATTGTCTCTCTGCGAGCATGCAAGTGGAGAATGATACAAACGTAACGAATGGCAGTGGTTGAAGTTGAAGGAAAGTGTGTGATGGTAAATGCTAGGGGTAGTTTTGGGGTAATTATGGCGTTGTATCGATTACTTTACCGCATCACCTAATCCTTAAGCGTATGGTAATACCCGAGTTACCTGAATTCGTTAGGAGATAATGTTTATAACCAGAGTTCATTAATTTTTCTCCTCACTTATGATCTTTCTTTCGATAAGGTACTAGAAGAACTTCACCATTTCGTTGAAATAGATAATCAATTGAAAGTAATTGAAATTTCGTGACAGTAAACCAAGTTCTATTGTAACTGTACATATAGTTTTCAGGTGTCTATTCTATAACAGGCGCAATGTACCCCATGTCATAGGCTAACTGTTAATTCCACCTGGTCTTAAACGGCAAGCCTTAGATCAAGGCTAGTGTTTTAAGATAGCGAGTGCACAATGTCAGTGTCATTAATCTCGTTATCCTTATTATTGTCTTCTCTTTATTATCATTTTGTATGACCTCGTTTACTATACGTCTGCACATTATGCTCATTTATTTCTCATTTCCTTCGGAAAAGCGTCGTTGTAATTTTCCGCTGTTTTCGCATTCGGTGCTTCGACGTTTCATACACGAACGTATATAAGATTCCGTTGAATTCGTTTCGTCGAATGTGAATTTCAGAAATTTGCATATTTTACATCTCAAGACGAACGTTCGGTTTATTATCGTTAACGTGGCCTTGATTGTTTCGCAATTACCGCTTTTTTAGTTGCAATAATACGAAAATATTTGCGAGCGTTCGCGCCATATCCTCGTGAAAGTGACATACAGTTTGCAAGAAGCACTGCTGGTGTAGTGGTATCATGCAAGATTCCCATTCTTGCGACCCGGGTTCGATTCCCGGGCAGTGCAGGTTTATTTTTTCACTTCGAAAATGCACTTCCATAAAAGTACAGGTGCCCGATGCCTTTTATCCATGAAGAATTTCATCGAAATAATTTTTTGAAGAACGTTACATGAGATATTCGACACCGTTTTACCACTCTGCTACTTATCGCATAAATGCATATCTGCATATTTCGACACGTCGTTTCGGAAAAATTGCTCAATTGGCATTTCAATAACAGAAACAGGAGAGAAGGAAAATAAAATGGCGATTGTAGAATGCAGAAGAGCGATCCTCGATTGAGGAAACTTCGCGACATTTGGGCCCCCGATATCGTAGCAAATTTGGCATTGGATTTTATCAGAAATCGCCCAGTTAAACTTACGAATACACGGATTACCGATACAGTACCATACCTGATAATTTTATAGATATTCGAATATCGTTTGAGCAAAACCGCCCTACTCAGTACACTTCCACCACGTTGCATCACTATATACCGTGTACCACTATACTGAAATGGCTTAACAACGTACACTTAAATCCATCGGCAAACGGTGCGAGGTCGGCGAAAGAAGGAAAACAAAAATTTCCAATGATAAGAGGGAACCTCGGCGATAACCCAGCTCGCATCGACGAGAAAAGATCGTTCGCGTGCTCTGCTCGTTACATCGTGATTTTTGATTGATCTACGGATTCAGATTCTGAATTCGCCAGGCTCTATTCCCTCTCTTTAATCTGTCACGTTATCTCTCCACCACAAACGAAACACGTGATACACTTTCAAAACAACATTTAATTAATCGTTTTGCCTTCTCCTGTTCGTTTGATCGTGTTCTCGCGGCGAGACGTAATTTTACACTACGACAAAGATATCGTTGTACGATCTGGTTTCATCACCGGGGTATTCTTATTTAGTTCTTATCCGAGCTACACGCCGATCCAGAGCTTCCATTGGACAATTGTTCTCGCGAGTTACTGGATTTCATACTCGTTGTTTGTCGCTTATTAGTAGGTTACCAGGAATCGTTGGGTCCAGTTGCTCTTTCTTTGCCTGTCGTCAGATGACGTTACGTCACAGGTGGCTGAAATCGTTGTCAAGCAACAAGGCGAATCCATATCCTTCGCGAAATCCACTATTGATCACGATGGATGATCCAGTGGCTTCCGGGAATGAGGTCGATAGTCTCACCAGCGAGATCAAAGATCTTCGCGAGATGATGACCCCGGGTAACGAGATAAAGGTATATTTGTAAGCTTTCCGATATCGCACTTATCATCCGCGCTCATAATTATTACGAGTTCTCGGCAATTTTTGCAACGAAACATCAACCTACCAGCGGCCTCCAATTATCGAGAGGAGGAAATTGTTGGACGACAATGTCACCCATTCCGCTTACTCACGTCGCGCACAGAGAGCCACGAAGGGAGCTATTATAGCCGGATGGCGACAATGACATTATGATCTTGAAAATGATAGCGGTGTCCCGGCAAATATAGACAGATCGATCGCTATATCCATTCTGCATGCACGTTACCATGAATGAATTATACGCCGAGCACCGACATTCTTTGTACAACCGTTCGAACAGAAGGACGTGTTTCCATGCCACGTTTTTCAGAACGCTCACTTGTTTACCCGGATAGCTTGTACACGATTAAGCGTAGTTGCAGCTTCGCAAGCACGAATTAAGCGTCGGTCATCGGAGATTAAAGCGGGGTCTTCGTGCGCCAAATTATCGTGCCTATCTGTTCGAAGATTGTTTTAATTATAACGAGGAACGTGATCTTTGGACCAGTCGGACGCGGAGTCGAGCCACCCTGTCGGTGGTCGTAAATGAAAGGAGTCAAAACGACCGTGAATTGGGCTAACTTTCCTGATCCAACAGGACTAACTTGTTCTCGGACGGCTGGAAACCAGTATCCTCGGCGCGTGTCAATTGCACCGCGAGAAAGTTCCTTCTAAGGCTCAAGGTTAATTTGCAACACGTTCGATCGAAAGTTAGTTTCTTTTCTCGACATTCGCTAGTTCTAAAAACCAACGCTTTGGTGCACAGTGTTTAGCAAACAAACGTGGTTCGTGTTTGAAAAGCACAAGACACGAGTAGCGCGATCGATGTGGCAGACATTTAAACGAACAACTACAACGAATCTAGGAATAATTTAGAGCTGATCTAGGTCTAGTCTAGGGACACTTAAAAAGCGTACGATCGCGCATTAAACTGCGAACATGCATAAAGTTGCACAAACAATAACGTGTATAACATCGTGCAGCATTTGAGAAACAAGGATCGGAAGGAGAGATTCGTTTCGTTTGATACAATTACGTTTCACGAGGAAGCTCTTTCCTCGAGGAATAGAGGAGGAGATGAAGAAGAACGGTT